TAACTAATCATATTAGCAACACATGTGAAAGTGTGAATAAGTACTAGTCAGGTGAAATCACTGTCATACTAAATTAGATTGTAAGAGCGGACTGATTGCTATAAAAAGAAGGGAAGAAACGCTTCCAATCATTGTGTTCTTGTTAGCAATGGATACCTCCAAAGAAACGCATGCAGCCATCATCGCTTTGCATTAAAATGGCCTTGCATGCAAGGAAATTGCTACAAAGAATTTTGCACCTAAAAGAACCATTTACTGGATCATCAAGAACTTCAAGGAGAGAGGTTTGACTGCAGTAAAGAAGTCTTCAGGACGTCCCAGAGTGTCCAGTAAGCGCCAGGACCATCTCTTCCTGAGGAGTCAGCTACGGAATCCTGTCACCACCAGTGCAGAGCTTGCTCAGGAATGGCAGCAGGTTGGTGTGAGAGCATCTGCACGCACAGTGAGGCCAAGACTTTTGGACAACAGTCTGGTGTCAAGAAGGGCAGCAAAGAAGCCACTTCTCTGCAAGAAAAATGTCAAGGACAGACTGAAATTCTGCAGGAAGTACAAGGATTGGACAGCAGAAGACTGGTGCAAAGTTGTGTTTTCTGATGAAGCTCCCTTCCGACTGTTTGGGACACCTGGAAAATAGGTGAACGCTACCATGAGTCCTGTGTTGTGCCAACAGTGAAGCATCCTGAGACCATCCGTGTCTGGGGTTGCTTTTCAACCAAGGGAATGGGCTTTCTCATAATTCTGCCCAAAAACACTGCCATAAATAAAGAATGGTATCAAAACGTCCTGCAAGAATGACTTCTTCCAACGATCCATGAGCAATTTGGTGATGATCTGTGCATTTTCCAGCATGATGGAGCACCATGTCACAAAGCAAGAGTGATAAAGAAGTGGCTCGAAGATCATTACATTGAAATTTTGGATCCGTAGCCAGGCAACTCCCCGGATCTCAATCCCATAGAGAACCTGTGGTCAGTCCTCAAAAGGCTAGGACAAGCAGAAGCCCACAAATTGTGATCAACTCCGAGAACTAATAAAGGCAAGAATGGATCGCCATCGGTCAGGATTTGGCCCAGAATCTAATATCCAGCATGCCAGAGCGAATTGCAGAGGTTATGAAGAACAAGGGTCAACACTGTAAATATTGACTCATTATATATATTATTTTGCAAGTAAAAGCCTTTAAAACTTATGATATGCTTATCATTGTTTTTCATTATACCATAGAAACATGTGGAAAAATAATCTACAAATACTGAAGCAGCAAACTTTGCAAAACAAAATTGATGTCACTGCCAAAACTTTTTGCCATGACTGTACACTCGATGCTGACAATACAGACACGTCGTCAACTGATGACATGCAGCCAACAATGTCATCTCTCCCCTCAACCAGCACCTCCTCTCAACCTGGGTCCATCCTGCAGAGAAGCATCCCACCGGCTGATTTATCCGCACTTAATGAACCACCTGCTCAGCCCCATTTACGCGAGTTTCCACGCACAACAAAAAACAAAATTTTGCTGCCAAGTGGTACACAAAGTTCCCGTTTCTAGAGTATAGCATAAAAAATGATGCTGTGTACTGCAAGATGTGTCGTCATTTTAGTGACACAATGTTTGAGGGAGTGTTTGTTTAAAGATGGATACCGAGATTGGAAACACATCACGCAGGCCTGTGAGCGGCACCAAGGGAGTAAGCAACATCTGATCGCTTTCGAAAAATATAATGGCTCTAGAGCCTGTCAGACATCTGGCCGTGGCACAGTAGTCAACCAGATTAATCACGATGCAATGAATCTGTCATTCATACAAAGAAATCTGGAACATTTAAAGGTAATTCTGGACATTGTGTTGTTTTGCGCCAAACAGGGAATACCACTTTGTGGCCACAGAGAGAGTGACAATGCCTTGAACCAAGGCAACTTTATAGAACTGTTCAAGTTAATTTCCAATTATGATCCACAGATAAGGGCATGGCTTGAGGAGATGCCTAAAAACCACTTTAATAAGCAGAATGATTTGCTGGAGGTGGCTGCTTCTTTACTACTGCGAAATATAAAAGCAGAATTTAAGGAAACGCTGGGCACTTACTTTGCTCTGATCGCTGACGAGTACAAAGACGAGTCAAAACAAAAACTGATCGCAGTGTGTATCCGTTATTTTCACCAGGGAACCCTAAAGGAAAGAGCCGCTGGTTTTGTGGCCACTGTAGACATGACTGCAGCTGGCATCTCAAAAAAAGATTCTGGAAGTGATTGAACCACTACAGCTGGACCAATCTCTTTGTGTAGGCTTCAGCTTCGATGAGGCCTCCGTTATGTCTGGACATAAGGGAGGAGTGCATGTTCTTTTGAAGCAGACCTTTCCCCGTGCAGTTTACGTGCACTGTAATTCTCATTGCTTAAATCTGGTTCTGGCAGCAGCATCAACTTTCCGTTCACGTCAGCACATTTTTTGATACGCTGAATTCTTTACATACATTCATGACGAGAAGCACCCGACACGCTAGATTTATGGAAATACAGAAACAACTTCATCCAAGTCGCCAGTGTTTTGAGCTTGAGCGATCCATTGACACTCGATGGAGCTCGAAATCAGGGTCTGTAAGCAAGGTGCTTATTTTATTTGATTGTATTTTAGAATTACTTGCCGAATGTAGTGGAAATAGCCACAGCCAGACAAAAATCGAGGCACAGGCTCTTCTACAACAGATCCAAATGAAGTGATTTCTTTTTTTATTAGTCACATTTGTAAAACTTTTTGAGTGCACTGACTTTGACACAAAAGTACTGCAAAGCCCGACTCTGTGTGTTTAGGACTGTATCCACCTTGTTGACATGTTAAAAGATGCATTTTCTGTCTTAAGAGACAATTCTTAAGAGAATAGTTCTGAAACTCACAGATGAGTTAATGACTAAACATGAAATTACAAACTTCAATGTAACCACCTCCAGACAAAGAAAGCTGCCTGCTAGGCTCAGTGACTCAGTGGATGTCAAATCTTAGAAGAAATACTAATGTGAGGAATTATGATGAGCTACGGCGCTTATGGAATGAGATAAGCAGCCCCGAGCTAAGGAGCCATTTTCATGAGGATCAGTATGGAATAATGAAAACAGCCGCGGCCTGTCAACCACAGTCCGGGACCTTTGCTGACAAAGACTTGCTTGAATCACCAAGTCGACATTATGGCATAAAGATCAAGGATGCTGAGCTTGTAACCTATTGTGCGTTATGGAAGAAAGAAACACACAATGCAGGTCACCATCAACGAATGTATTAGTGTTAAAGGAAGGTGCAACAAAACGATAGGAAGTACAATGTGTTCTCCCCAGCATATACACATGAGTGCAGGGGCAGAGAAAAACCCCGAATCAGAGTCTTAAAGGGACAAACACCCAGGCCATTACAAGCTGAGTGTTTTTACAGATCAGATTCAATAGGAAAGCTGAGGGAGGACAAAACTTCCCGTCACTAATGGAAGTAATAGACAGTTGCCCTTCTGATATATTTCCAAACATGAATAAACTTCAGAGAGTAATCATCACCCTCCCCATGACTTAATGTAGTGCAAAGCAGCTATTCTCCACTAATGGCAAGATCAAAAGAAACATCTATTCGTTCAGGCAACTGCTCGCTTAAAGCACCTCGCCATACTTTATGAGATTCATGGATTATGATGCATATGATTATGCGATTTACAATGCAAAGCCAAGACGTCTATTTCTTGCTCTTTAAGATGACTTGTTTGGGCTCCAAAAACTGCACTGTAAAAAACCTGCTGTAAAAATACAGGGAATTTTCTACAGTAATGTACATTTCTATGTAAATACAGTTAAATACTGTAAATGATAAAATGTTAACAGCAAGCTACGGTTCAGTCTTACGGTATAATACAGTTTTTTTGTCAGACATGTGACGTTGTTGCTTGAGCCCGCTCATAACTCATCTAAGCAAAACCACGGCACATCAACTCCAATCTACGGTCAAGAGGTGTGCACTCATGCAGGTTTAAAATTACTGATCTACAATATTTTATTAACAAGAGAAAGAAGAATAAGATTTTTGCCCCGCCTGTGAGCTGCCAGCATCGAAATATATGGCGCATTCACCGGCTTGTTTTTCTACTCGCCGACTTGGGTAAGTGCGATTTTTATAGCCGGTGATATTTACACACTGTTATATCTTTTTATTGAATAAATGGATAATATGGGTGCAATAATGGATGGGTGCAATTGTTTTGACCTTCAAATTTTGGGCTACCATCCACTCCCATTATAAAGCATGGATAAGCCTGGACATTATTTAATATAACTCAATTGTATTAATATATATATATATGTAATTGTATTCATCTGAAAGAAGAATGTCATATACACCTAGGATGGCTTGAGGATGAGTAAATCATGGGGCAATTTTCATTTTTGGGTGAACTATCCTTTTAATAAAAATATAATGTGCTGGGTCTGCATATTCATGCTTACATGTATGTGGCATACAGCCTTCATAACTTATGCTAATAATCAATCTCTCTCCAAGCCAGATTTTAGTCTGCTGCTTGCCAAAATATGCTAAATTTTATTGTCTACAAATATACATTATGATGATGTGGTCGATGTTGGTGTCATATATCGAATTATCATTTTATAAAATAGACTACTTCAAATTCTAATTTGCATTCCATCATTGTATGTTTGTCAACCATAAACTGCTACTAATACACTAAGTTACATTACTTAGAAGAACTGCTTATTCAATTTATTAAAATGAATTATTGAACACTGTCTTGTTACAGTGTTCATGCCTCAGCACTATATCGCGACTTGTCTTCCTTGCTTTAGGCATTTATAAGCTATAGCTATAATATACAAGCTATAGCTGCTTCATGAAACTGTTCGCCATCAATAAATAACATTTAATTGTCAAATAATTTGTATACCATATTGTAAAATTTAATTGAGTAGGCATTGAGGTCCACCCTATTTCACCAAAGTCCACTCACTTTAAAAATGTATGGCCTCGCCACTGGGACACTGCAAGCGGTGGAATCCATACAGCTGCCGCGTTCTCTCATAGTGGAAACTGTGTTTGTGCAGTTGAAGCCTCGTTTACACTTTCGCCTGCCTCTACACCGCAGACTGTGCGCTCCTTCCTAAACGGACAAAGCTTTTTTGACACTTGCTTGACACTTAACACATGCTTGCCTTTGTATGATTCTGTGAAACGACAGGGTAGATTTGGAGTAAGGCTGATGATACACGAAACAACATTTGAGCAATGTTGCTGGGCAACTTTGGCTAATGTTGCCATCAATGGGCAACCAGGTGAGACACAGGGCCCACGACTGATCTAAAGTATCCATATAGAAATTTGTTACCCAATCTCAATTGGAAAGTGCCCAAGCAACATTGCTCAAAAAAATAAAAAATAAAAATAAAAAGTTGCCCTGTATATCAGCCTAATTGTTCTCCAAACCATCAGAAAGCATTGATGAGAGGAAGCAGTTTGCCATACAATCATTTTGTGATAGGTTTATGAATAAATGGATTTCTTCACGTGTAAACTAATAAAGTTGTGGGTCATTTTGGAGGACACATTACACTTCTTAAACCCACACAAAAGAATCGTGTAAATGTCAGCATACACAACGGGGACACAAGAGTAATTCAATATCACATTAGATTTATTGAAGGCAGTGGCATGAAAAGACAAGACACCAGTGAGACGGGAAGTACCCAGGTAACAGATAGAGTAGAGTAGCTTAGCTTGATGCATTCACAGGTCCTTTCCTCCAGGTGGGATCATTGGAGCAGATGACCGTGGAGTCAATCGCTGGAGAACTGGCGAATAAATAAAGACTTGGATAGGTGAGTAACACATAGCAACCGCGAGACCAGACAATAAGCTTGTGGAATGAGTGTTTTCTTATAGGGAGCTTGATTGGCCATGACAAGTGAGGAGGATTCACTGATGGATGTCAGGTGTGAGTAATTGACAAGGGAGTGCAGGAGAGTGGCAAGAGGGATGCTGGGAAACGCAGTGCAGAGGCGACTCAACTGATGACAGCGACAGTAAAGCCCAGTAAACTTGAGATTATGACTTGTGACATTAGAACAAAACATACTGTATATGATAACATATGTATAACACTAAATTACAATACTGATACAAACACTGATGAATGGTACACCACAAAAAAATCTTCAGCTTTTGGTTGTATTGTTCATCAGAAAAAAACCTTTGAGCAAATAGCGTTAAATGCTAATTAAATGAATTAAAATGTACATTTTAGATAAACTTTCTAATTTGAATAAACTTTATATACAGCTAAGTAAACTTTACACGAAATAAGTATAAAAAGTAAAAAACAATTGTAGTTTTGTATTTCTACAGGTCAGGGGAAGGGAAGGGATATGTAAAATGGAAGCAGTTGCACACATCTAAATGTTTTTTGTTTTTTTTTGCATTCAGAATAGGTCCAGATAGATTTCAGCCTATAGGGATGCCTTCATTGGATGGCCAATTTCACATGTATTTTGTGTAGTTTCAAAACAAAAAATACTGTGTTTGTATTTAAATAAATTTTTCCACACAGTATTTTGTATTTGTATTTAAATACATTTTTCCACACAGTATTTCGTATTTTTATTTTAAAAACATTTTTATGTATTTATACCCATCTCTGAGGCGTGAATTGTAGGGAATCTAATGAATTGTTGGTTCCGACCATTTGCTTTAGGACTGCAATCCGATCATTTTGAGTGGTTCTGAATGGGAATCACTCTCTGTTGAAGTCTAATCAATGTTTATTTCATCTTTGTGCACTGCAGGTCTTATCACTAGCAGTCAATCACTGGCCTATGCCATTAGCAAGTTCATAAGCGATGTGCTGTCCGATCAGATGAGCGCACAAAGGCTTTTCTCTGTTGGGCTGTTTATGGTTGGTAGCATCAATGTGGTTTTCTCACAGTCCTCGTCGGTGGCAGTGTTCTCAGGCCTGTGGTTTCTGGCAAGGTATGGATCTGATCCTGTAATCCATGGACTTGCATTGTACATACAAATGTATATACACTCTTAAAAACAACATGTTCTTTATTGGCATCTATGACTCCATTAAGGACCTTTTACACTGATGGAACCATTGCACAGAAGGTTCTTTATAGTGGAATTTTCAGCATCATTACTCCAGTCATCAGTGTCACTTGATCCTTCAGACATCATTCAAATATGCTGATTTGGCAATCAAGTAAAATTTCCTATTGTTATCAAGGTTTGAAAACAGTTATAAAGTGTAATATATTGTGGAAACCACGATACATTTCTTTCAGGAATCTTTGATGAATTGAAAGTTCAAAAGAACTGCATTTATTTGAAATTAAATCTTTTGAAACATTATAGATGTTTTTACTGTCACTTTTGATCTTTTTTGTTGTTGTTGTAATACTAACGCCAAACTTTTGAATGATATTGTACATAATGCATAAGTTTCAGGTGCATTTCTAGAGTACATATAAAATTAATTGAATCAATTGTTTAAATAGAGGTCTGAGCCATCTCAGTTTGGGACCTGGTGGTCATTAATATCCTGTAGTATGAATTTGGCTGGGGGTCTCGGGCCCATAATTGCCACACTGATGGCCCAAAGCTACAGCTGGAGGTTTACGCTGTCCATCTCCGGCCTGACTTGTGTGGTCATGTCCATCTTCTGTCTGCTCTAAATCCAAAATGAGCCCAGTGAAGTTGGCCTGCCAAATATCGAAGCTGGTGCAAACAAAGTCAAAGGAGGTACAAAAGACTTCACAATACACATGCACATGTATTTTATGAGTATAACCAATTCCACTGAATAACCTGCTTCAGTAGGAAATACATCACATTAAGGAATTAAAACTGGCAGGGAATGTGGTTTCATGTTATCTTAATTTTCCATACTTAGTTGTTTACTATGGCTTGTTTTGCTTATATAGGTCATTGCTGTTCTATGACATTGTGAAAGTCTGCATCAGATCAAAGGTTTTACTTGCTAGTTCTTTAATGAACTATTTTACCAAAACAGAGTTCAAAGGGGCGTGTTTTACTAGGTCTGTGTGTTAATTAAGGTTTTTTGTCGAAGGTCACTCATGTAGAACTATTGGAGTTTTCTATCTGTCCTCCAAGAACAGTTGTACATTTGATCCATCTGGTATCTACCCCTAATTTCAGGCAGCAGCAAAAATGTAAGCACCTTTAAAGGGTTCATCTTTTCTCCATATCTTTGGGTGTTGTCATTGGGATAATTGGTGGTGTTTGGGGTGAAGACTGCTTACACTGACTGGGGGCAACTTTTCCTCATCCAGGACGAGGGCCAGTCGGCACTAATGGGTACTGTGTGTTGTCTAATATATTTCGTTTTTAGCTTTTCAGTATCCACCTTATTTTTAATGCAGCAGGTGCAGCCATTTTTAACTTGAATGTGCAAGGCTTCCATTGTCATCTGCATCAAGTTATTTTAGCTGTACAACAACAGCCTGTTATGCTGCTTGATATTGTAAACTTGGGCATATGTCAATGCAGGAAAGACTGTGTTTATGGGTTCTATAATGTACATGTTCTATTATAATTTCCACACAGGTCTGTATTTTTTTGCTGGGTGCTGTTTTTGGCTTTTCCTCCTATGGACCGATTGCCTTGTTTGGAGTTTTGGAGTAAATATCCATACTGGTGTTTTTGCTGCAAAATTTCTTAAAGTTCTGACCTCTCAAATAAAATTTGCAGCAATATCATGATGTTAACCATTTGCCCTTTTCAAAGAATACTAATGTGTTTTTTGTTTGCTGGCAGTTGGTGGTTTCCTGTCAGGGTTGCCATTCGGCACCATTGCAAAGCACTATGGCTGTAACACAGCATTCTGGGTAGCAGAAATAACCTGTACTGCCACCACAGTTGGATACGTCCTGCTCTGGAATATCCGCACCAAGATGGGAAGTGTACCCAAGAAGGCCAACTAAACATGATTATAGTATTATTTTTAATGTCTTTCAACTAGTTTTTAAGATACTGTATAAAGGGCACAACAAATAAAGGGTACAACTTGTCTAGGATTTTACTTTTGTTTATGAAATATAGATGAATTACGTGTGGATATCTATTCCTAAGATAGTACACTATTTTAAGCGACGTATGAAATAGGATACCATGTTGCGTCACTTTCTGCACATCATGTTATTTATTGTCAAATTAAGAAGGTTTATTTTAATTTTTTTAAGGTTTATTTTTGGCATTTTATTTAGATAGGACAGTAGTTCGACAGGAAGCAAAGTGGGTGAGAGAGAGGGGGGTGGGATTGGGAAAGGTCTGCGAGCCGGGACTCGAACTCGGGACGCCCGAAGCGCAGAGGCGCTACATGTCGGCACGCTGCCCACGAAGCCATCAGCGCCGACAGATAACAGTATTTTACACTGTTCTGAATCTTCTCACTCAACACTTACATTGCAGAACTTTATCATTTGGTTAAGGCATGTTAAAGCCATTTCTTCAGTGCTATTGACATTTTATTACTGTTAAAATAAATTTATTTCTAGTATTTTTTTTATTCGTTTTAGAGCTTTAACTGGTCCTACCTCTGTATCTGCAGTATTACAAATTCATAAATGTGTAGGATGAAATATGACAACATTTTAGATCACATGAATGTTTAATAGCACAATGTAATGAGTTATCATTAATGAAAAATGTAAGACCAAACTTCAGAAACAGATTTTCATAATCTCCTGACAGAAAGCAAATGATACGGAAATTTCATTACATTTAGAAAGACGCTAATAAACCTGTTTCAATAACATGTATTGAGCTGCTTCATCTTGTATAGATGTTCCGCACATTACAAACATAAACTGTGTCCATGTAGATTATTTACAAAGGTTATGTGAAATAAGTTTCCAATATTTGGGACTTAATTTCAAGAGAAAAGTAAATTAACCAAACACAGTGGTCTTAAACTATGTTCAGTCGTTTGAGCTTGAGGAAAACTCTTGTTCGTATTCCTTAAAAAGTTGATGGAAGTATTTATCCCATTTTTCTGGACAAGTTTGACAGCAGAACGTTTGGAGATCCTGTCAGGTGGATGTACATACACGGTGCAAGTCTGGTTCAAGACCCGGGTCCAAATGCCCCAGCTTTCTCTGCTATTTCCAGGGCACTCTTTAGATTTTGGTCAAAAAGCTCACATCTGAAAGAAATTTTTGTTACACACAACACCTTTGTGGCAAGCAACAAATTGGACAGCATGCAAAGCTCATAACATTATGACTAGTGATAGTAAAAAAAAAACATTACACACCTGATAGGCATTTCTAAAGAGTAGAAAGGATTCTTCAGTGCAAAGTCTGAATAGATCTCATAAATCTTTCTTAGGAGGGCATCAATACCAGACTGTCGAGGGTCTGCCAATACAATGAACTTGATACCTGCAAAAAATAAGAAAACAGTTCTGTCAAAATCACTGGTTTTGTTCAGCACATAATTCTACATTCTGACTAAATTGAACCTTTTCTTACAACGAGAGGAAAAAAAAGACCTGTGAGTGTTTGAAAGCAGTGCAGTTTGAACACATCTGTCTCCAGCATTTCAATACCAGAGCTGCCGACTTCAGGTGATAACTGTGATCCAATGGCAAACAGCCTTAGAAAAGACAAGAAAATCCAATCATCACAGGTACAACAGTATTTTGTATTCATGATCAGGGGTTTATTATGAATGTTATGAATCTTATAATGAGTTATCTATATATTACACTACCACTCAAAGATTTGTGATCAGTAACATTTATTAAGAAATCAGCACTTTTACTCAGCAAGAACACGTTAAAGTCTTCGTTAGCATTGGGTTTTTGTTGTGGCATTGCTTCGACAACATTATGCAACATCACAACATTTGTTCCCACCAAGAGTTGACCAAGATGGGAGAGTTGAACCACTCAGTCAAGTCAACTCCAGCACATCCTGAAACTTTCAAAAAGCTTTAGAACAGAATTCATACATGAAAATGATTTCTCATGCTCACTGAACCACTTTTTCACAATTCGGGTCCAATGAATCTTGGCATATTCCATCCTGGAATATGTACACGAGTACGTCTTCCAACATATTTGTTGAAGAAATGAAAAGCTACACACTGCATCAGTTAGGATTAAAATAATTGCTGCAACTGCAAGAATAAAAACATACCAAAATAAGATAACACAGTTGTGCTGTTCTGAGAACACAAAAGTGGATGCCTAACATCTCCTTTTGTGTTTAAATGATGAAAGAAAGTCATACAGGTTTAAAACAACATTAGCAACATTACAACAATGGGTTGAACCTAGGGGTGTGCGATATATATCGTCTGCGATAATATCGTAATTGTTGTTTTAACCATGTGCGATTTGACATTATCGAGTATTTTGCAAAAACCATTCAAAACATCCCTACAGAGCGCACGTATACATTACGTGAAGTCTAGACAAGTGCGTGTGCGCAATTAGTTTATTAATAGTGACTTGCTGCCACCTACTGGCGGTTTTAATTTCATATTCAATGTATCTTTTATTATTTAAATAATTGTAAATATCAGTATTCATAAATGCCACTTCAGACGCAGCTTCTGTGTTGATTTAATTTGCTTGATAACAGCCCAAATGTCTTCTTATTATAATTCCCTGATTGCATGTAAGAATTTGACTCAAAAGATAATGGACACATACAGAAAAAAATGACTTTATAAAGGTAAAAATGCCCATAAAATGCAAAAATCAGTTTAAACTTATTGGAAAATATTAATTTCTCTCAGTATGAACTGACCACCACACAGAATAAAAACATTAGGAGTCAGCTGTCTTCGGGGCGGGGCATAGAGGACCTACAATAATGTACAGTATTTGAAAAATAATGTGTTTTTGAACATTAAAGCATGTCAACATATTCTGTTACACCAAATAATGATCTTTAAAAAAGCATCATATGACCCCTTTAAGGTACCAGCACAATAACACACTCAGCAAAATATCGTCTAATTATCGTTATCGATAAAATCCCAGAAAATATCGAGATATTAGTTTTTTGTCAATATCGCACACCCCTAGTTGAACCATGTTTACTGAAGTCTACTCACGAGTGAAACATTGAGGCCAGCATGAGTTTCTCGTTGGAGGTAAGGCGAGGTCGCCCGAATCTGATGGACACTGGATAGTTGGCAGGATCTTTCAGATATTCCAGTATCTCCTTCCCTTCAGCCGTGTATTTACCATTCACATCCACCCCGTTAATGGACAGAACCGCATGACCCACTGCACGCGACAAAACACGTACTGTATAGCTCACAAGAACACATGCTGGACTCCAGTGATGGCCCTATAAATGTGTAATAATACATGGGATGGGTTGCGCACACACACACACATACGCACCTCTGATCCCGTCCCGCTGTCCGAACGACACAACTAGCTTCTCATCGTAAATCTTTAAAACTAAATCAAGCGGAAAGCTGAATGTTTTTTCAACTTCAGCTCGAGGTACATAATTATCGTACTGGTAGATGAGTCCACCGGCCTTATTGACAACATACACACTGAAGATCGCCATCTTTCTTCCTGTCAGCGGAGCAGTCATGTGACTTTGTTGCGTGTGGGAAAATATAAAATAATAGTAATACAAATACGATAAGCTATCATTTAGTAGTCTACAAACTATATTTTTATTATAACAATGAATTAACTGTTGCGGTGTATTTTTGTGAGCGAATAAGTGAATGTAGTTTTGATAGTTCAATAGTTGTAAAACTTCATTTCCCATAATGCCACACTCGCCGAGCGCACTGATTGGCTACCGCCAAAGCCTTTTGATAAAGCGCATATTCTGTTATTTTCAGAATATGAATGGACAGGGCTTTGCACTATGCATGCACAATAATAATGGTCGTTTTATTGCGTTTTCCAATTCTCATTTATCATTACTACTGTGTAAATTATTATGCTGAGGAACAGTGAGTGGAAGTCACACTGTCACATGGTACCTGCTACTTTTCTTAACGCAATCAGAAAGGACGAATCACAATTGTTTCTGATTACATAGTAAGGTTTTTTTTTTGTGAACATCTTAATTTGAATTTCAGTTACCAATATATAAAATTATTGTTTTTAAACGGTCTGATGTACGCATTTAAAAGACACGTAAAACAAACTCTGCATGCGGCTCAAAGAAAGATTTGGGTTTCTGAGCTTCAATACCCAAGCCCTCTGGAGACAGACAACGATATTTCATGCTAAACGGTGATTAGGCAGTAACACAACGTCCATACAGTAATACAGTAGTTTATTTCCTGCCACTATCAAAGTAAAATATGTTTTTAAATGATTAATGTCCTTCTAGTAATCATACCTTCGAATTGATTGAATTTTCTTGCATCAGTGTAAGCTATGTAAAGATTTTGAATGGTCCTGTTTTGAATGAAAAACACGCAAGGCTCGAAGCAGTGGCCTAGCAAAAAAGTTTTTACCTTTGAGGTCTGGGATAGAAATAAGACACATTTCTTATCCTCCTGACCCCTTGTTCGTCATGCTCCAAAATGAGAGACAACTCAATGACCAGGTATTTTATGCTTTTAATTACTTTCCACAGAAAATAATAATAATGAAATATTTATTAGAATGCTTTATATCAGACTAAGTTATGCAAATCTTCCCACACAGTGAGGTAGATATGTGGGGGCGTGTTAGAACGAGGCGTTTTAGGAGGGTGTGGCTGACTCTGAACTTTTATAAAGAATATCTCTTTGGATTTGAGTCTTTAGTCTTTGCAACTTTACAGATCTTCTTTATGCACCAAGAGCTTGTAACACTCCAAAGAGAAATGAAAAATTGAAATCGCATCATATGACCCCTTTAATGGATGTGGTCAGCTGTTTGTCTTATCATTACACATTTGTGCCTCCAACCACTGGATGTGCGCCATCCAGCATACACTTTGACTGAGTTTCTACAAAAATAAGCGGCACAACTGTTTTCAACATTACTGGAGTAATGATGCTGAAAATTCAGCTTTACATCACAGAATAAATTACATTTCAAAATATATTAAAATAGAAAACAGTAAAGAAAATTGTAATAATAATTTAACAAATAATTTAAAATTGTAATCATATTTCACAATATTTCAGTTTTTAGTTTATTTTTGATCAAATAAATGCAGCCTTGTTGAGCATAAGGTGGCTTCTTTTAAAAACATAAAAAATATCTAACAGAAACCAACTTTCAGTGTATATAACACAATTTTCTGAAAGAAAATGAGAGTACTGCCCATTCAAAAGTCACTGACACTATACTATAACATTGCCATGCACTGCTATTCTAAGTGGTTACCAGTGGTTTACTATAGTGTGTTTTGAGTGTTTGCAGGTGGTTCCTTACTGGCCCACATGAAAACAACACTACATTTTTACCTTCCATAAGGTGAAAATCAAAAGTCTGATAAGTCTACTTACAAAATATCAGCACACATCTTTTCAGTGCACTTAGATCTATCATAACAGTGTGGAACTTTTATTCCATCTCTCTATTCTTATATTATAACGATTTTCATGAGGAGACATTCTGACTCATTAATTACGTAAACTATTGTAAGAGAGACAACACAAAGCTCATGAACATAACAAGCCTGAAGCCTCTGCTGCTGGCAGATATGCATCTATTAATACTCCATCCTGTTTTAGTGTGACCCGCCTTTATAGAGAAAGACTTGCTGTCCAACAGACAAGCAGATTCTCAGTGAGCGAAGCCACTAACTTTAGCTTCCTATCCGGAGCTCGTGCTTAGAAAGTGACTCACATTCATAAAAGTCAAACAAGTGCAAAAAACGCTCTGTAATTCTCTCTTGGCAGTCATTTTTTCCTTCTTCCCACTCGCTCTACTCCTCCCTCCCCCAAACCCTAAGAAACAACACAACTAACTACTGGTGTTTACGGGTCTCACTAATGAATCACCTCTTAAGTGATCATTAAAGACTTGCATTTGCGTAACACGAGGTGTAGAGACCTCTGAAGGATATGTGAGACCCTGAGAGGAAGTTTGGGGGGTGGGGGCTGGAGTCCGTGCTGAGACTGATCCAGAATCAGATTTATGGAAGGCAGCTGTTGAAGTGTGACCCGCCTTTATAGAGAAAGACTTGCTGTCCAACAGACAAGCAGATTCTCAGTGAGCGAAGCCACTAACTTTAGCTTCCTATCCGGAGCTCGTGCTTAGAAAGTGACTCACATTCATAAAAGTCAAACAAGTGCAAAAAACGCTCTGTAATTCTCTCTTGGCAGTCATTTTTTCCTTCTTCCCACTCGCTCTACTCCTCCCTCCCCCAAACCCTAAGAAACAACACAACTAACTACTGGTGTTTACGGGTCTCACTAATGAATCACCTCTTAAGTGATCATTAAAGACTTGCATTTGCGTAACACGAGGTGTAGAGACCTCTGAAGGATATGTGAGACCCTGAGAGGAAGTTTGGGGGGTGGGGGGTGGGGTCCGTGCTGAGACTGATCCAGAATCAGATTTATGGAAGGCAGCTGTTGTGGGTTTGACAGACAGACGGATCGGAGCACTGCTGCGTAACACAAGCAGATTTGAGTCTGCAGAGGAGTGTGTCAAATCACACTAAAACAGCAAGGGTAAGTCACACTTAAGTTTAACTCTTATTCTTTTTGTCAAGTTTGATTTCTGACTTGATTTTTAATATCAGTCTTGTTTCTCATGCCTAATAATGTTCATATTACCAGAAAATGTAGAATAACTGGAGATGTAAATGAATGAAAAGCTGATTATAATCACAGTATACCTTTTTAAAACAATGTTCATTGTTGTTTAGTAAATTCTATCATCTTTACTCATGAATATCATCCAAATAAAGTATCAAAATGCCCACATATCTGAAATCAGTGCACCTTCTTTTGCACAGAACTGTATTTTTTTTATCCCTTTTTCATGTTGTCAAAATATTAACATAAGCCACTGAAATGAAGAAATTTCAAATGCTTTGGCTGTTTTTCCTCTTTAAAATGAGAGCATGGTCCTGAGACCTATTTTTAGAGGGCCGAGGCATTACGGCGCGCTGGAGTTATACAGACGGCAAGATTAGACGGAGTGGGGAGAACTTCATACAGCTTGTTATGTTTGCTCTTATCTGGGCTCCTCAGAGAACTGGTTTTCCCACCTCATAACTGTTTATCCTCCAGCAGAACTCCACAGAAACAGAGCAATATCACGCCAGCTCAGCCTTCCTTGGTGCTCTTGATATGTGATCAGGTCCAGCTTTGGCACCACGAAGATCTCAGAATCTCTGTTAAAAACAAAGTCAACCCCAGTGGTTTGGAAAGACAGTGTTTTGCTGTAATTTCTTTTCTTGGCAGCTTAGATGAGGCTGGAAACAGTGAAAGAGCATCAGTAGGGTGGGTTAATGGAAAAAAGTCCTGAGGGACACCGAGAGAGAAAGAGAGAGGCTGTCTGTGAGCAACGTGTGGAATCAAGATGTTTACTTTCTTGTACGACTTTAATGATCTTCTGCAGCCATTGATTTCATATAAATGTTTAATTACTGGCTGGTAATTATGTTTTAAAAGGGATTAGGAAGGAATGGGAATTGGATCATGCAACTCCAAACCCAAGGAATGTTTGGATGAGTTGCCATGGGGAGACATGAAGGCTGTGTTTCAGTTTTTCCTTCATCTGACTGTGGCATGTTCACTCAGTACTTGATTCAAAGTGAATGCTGTGCTACATACAGCACTGTCTTGACAAAAAACACATCTCAAAGATCACAGTTTTGACAGAAAACATCAAATATATAATGAGCTTTACATTTTATCAAGAAAATGTTAGACTGGTTACCAGTATGTTGTTAAATGGTTGGACATGTTTTAAATGCTTTTAAAGGGGTCATATGATGTTGCTAAAAAGAATATTATGTTGTGTATTTGGTGTAATGTAATGTGTTTATGTGATGCCGTGTCCCAGCGCGATGAGACAACACCAATAAAACCCATTACAAACGAGGCATTTGTTGCATCCAGTGGGGACATAATTACTGATTATAATGATTTATACTGTCTTTTTCCGCATTGCGTATCGTGCCGCGTAAACATAAAAACATGTCTGCATTTGTGATCGGAGAAACTCTACACTGCTCAAAACTCGCGTTTGAATCGTCAGTGGCAAATTCTTTAAATATAAAAATACGTACCTACAGGCTGTGAGTCAGAAGCGCCAGACTGTCCTTGCAAAGTTGGAACTGCCCCACTTTATAGAAACAGCCTTTGTGCACAGACCCATTGTAGGCTACTCTGCAGGTTCAGGAAACAATCCTCCATAAAATGTGCTGCACACATCTGAATATTTGGGTTGAACTGTTCTGGAACAGTGTTGTAAATACAACTTAACCACTGATTTCTAGTTGTGTCCTCTTTTGGAAGGCCAAACAATGTAGTTTCTCTTTCACAACGAAACACACAGCGTCACACACGGCGGGCTTGAGTGAGCGGCCGGCGGATTCGATGAAGGAGTGGCTGGCGGGCTTGCGGCAACCATATGTGACGACCCCAGGCTGACCCCAAGTTGATGTATTTCCTCAGTGACCAGGACAGATCGGCTTTAGGCATGACGAAGCGGATATCGTCCTCTTCTTTCTTTCTTCATTTTTCTTTTATCTGGACTCCGCTTCGTCCACGGTGAAAGCCAATCCGGCGATCCACAGCGCGAAGTTGATGTATTTCCTCAGTGACCAGGACAGATCGGCTTTAGGCATGACGAAGCGGATATCGTCCTCTTCTTTCTTTCTTCATTTTTCTTTTATTGGCAACCGCACTTAACAGTGCATTACTGCCATCATCAGGTAGCTTGGATCAGAAACATTTCCTACATCTCTTGGATATCGTCCTCTTTTGGAAGGACAATCAAAGTAGTTTCACTTTCACAACGATACACACAGCGTCTCCACGACATGGCGGCGGCGGCAACAACAATACTACAGCGAGAATAAAAGTTACGCCTTCTTTCTTTGAACATTTGGGCAGTGTTATGCAAATCTTCCCACACAGTTACGTAGATGTGGGGGCGTGTTTAAAGAGGCATTTTAGGAGGGTGTAGACCAGTCTTAACTTTTATAAAGAATATCTCTTTGGGTTTGAGACTTTAGTCTTTGCAACTTTAGGGATCTTATCTATGCACGAACAGCTTGTAACACTCTGTATGTGAGCCCTTTAAGCGCATTGCTTCTCTGCTGTTGAATAGATTGGGCTCAGTAAGAATTTTTCCTTTTATTCAGCAAAGATGCATTAAACTAATCAAAAGTGACAGTAAAGAACATTTATAATGTTACAGAGGATTTCTATTTCAAATAAATGCTGTTTGTTTGAACTTTCTGTTCATCAAAGAATCCTGAAAAATCAATAAGCATGTTAAGCTGCACAACTGTTTTTAACGTTGATGATAAAATAAAAGGGTTTTTATTTTATTTATTTATTTTGAGCAGCAGATCAGCATATTAGAATGATTTCTGAAGGATCATGTGACACTGAAGACTGGAGTAATGATGCTGAAAATTCAGCTTTGGCATCACAGGAATAAATTACACCTTATTTTTTTTATTTTAACAACCATAAACATTTGAATGGTAATGTATGTGGTTGCAAGGGTGTTTTGGGTAATTTAGAATAAGAATTCTGCATACTACCATTTACATTTACATTTAGTCATTTAGCAGACGCTTTTATCCAAATCGACTTACTAATGAGGACAATAGAAGCAATCAAATCAACGAAAGAGCAACAATATATGTGTTGTGACAAGTCTAACACAGTGCATGTTGCAAGATTATTTATGTATTTTATTTATTGTATTAATGTCTGCAAGTGGTATTTTTATAGGGTTTCCATTATATCTGTATCACACTAGCCTAATTTTTCACTGTTTTATCTGCTTCATGGTACTAATCATTTGATAGGTATGTACATACCAGTTTTTTATATAATATTTGTTGTTCATAAAGATTTGTAGTTTTTAGTTTGTGGATGCTCATTTTGTTATCCAGATATTCTGAGAAATACATTTGAAATCCAATTCATACACACTATTACTTGAACATATTTCTTCTCTGTGTGTGTGTGTGTGTGTG